ACAATTTACAAACTACGAAAACCATCACGTTCCATATTGCCACTCAACAACGTCCCGCCAGTACCAGCCCGCAACGCCACAAGAAACATTTCAATTAGCCTAGCTAACTATCAACACAATCTCTCCTAATAATTATCCCCGCATTAAGTCTACAAACTAGAATCGGTAGCTCTGAGATCCGAGGCGGCGCAAGACAAAAGGCGAATATCCATCTCCCAAGCAATACGAAACAGCATCATCCTACGTTGAGAGGTGAGGGCGCACGATTTTCTGGAAGGTCTGTCGCTCCTCCGTTCTGCGGCTTACCGGGCCAGCTTTCGGTCGAAAAGGACGAATGCTACCGAAAACCTTGTTAAATGCAATACCAGTAAAACAAGGCGCAAACAGTGAATAGCAAAGCTGCTCCTCTCGGATTATCGGGACATCTGTAGATGTCTGCGAAGGAGATAGCGGCAACATAAGACAGAGAGGCGCAAAAGGATCTCCTCCTCTATACCTGGCAAAGATCTTGGATTTAGACTCCTAAGCACGAGACCACTTCCCCGCTTATAGCTACCGTGTATCCTTTTTCCTATATCTCTGCTACCGAATGCTACCAAACGGATCGTTTCCGACCTTTCTCAACGACAACGACAAACCGACCCACCCGCCGACCCGTTACTTATATAACTCTTTGTCCGGATCCACGGTCGGACGAATTAACGATAATATTGGTGGCACTATTAGCCCCCCCAAGAGCTTGTACTAAACTGGCTTTATTTTGCTTACGAACTGACCCTATTATCGGCGCCTTATCTTTCCGTATGTATCTGCCGAATTTCGATGATCTTCTCAAAGGAATCTCAGAGAGGGAGAGAGAGAATTTTTGCCTGCTGAAAAGTTCTTTTTGTTCGAATAGTCACCGTATTTAGAAGATATTTAGACAGGTTCGATCAGGTTTTCGGTGATATAGAGTTTGGGTAGTTTTAAGAGTAATATTGAAATTTAATGTATTGTTGAAATATAAGATGAGAGTGTGAAGTTAATTTTGTAACATGGTATAAATTTTTATTCGTTTAGTGGTTATGATTAAAAGTTGGAAATAAAGATGATTCTTTTTAACTTGGTATTGTGAAGGCATTGGTAGTTATTTAATATTTCAGTCAAGTGGAAATAATATATTTGATGAGTTAATAGGAATGCGTTGTCATTGCATGTTCTGTATGAGAAAGATCGATATCATTATGCGCCACTCGAAGCTACCACCACAAATTTACCCCCTGGAAGCGATGACCCCTCCCTCCTTTAGCAACCGTCGAACACGGGTACACTAAGTTTCTGCACCAGTTTCTGTCAACTTATTGTGCGGTGACAGACAGTTGTATTTTGATACGAAACCCTCAACTACAGCTGTTTAGATAAACTCACCTTTCTAATCTGTTTCCATCTTCACCGTTATTATTTTTAGCGTTTCTTAACAATAATTACTTCTTTTTTATTGAATAAACACATTTAGGAAAAAGTATGTGTAACGAATAAATGTATTATTATTAAGAAAACTTATTTTTTAGCATAATGGATTTCTTATTAAAAAATGAAAGTTTAACAAAGTGAATATAAATTTATTATAAATGTTTCACGGATACTTCTACAAATTCATGTTTCCACAGACCACTTCTCAGAAGGGAGTCATCAAATAATAATTCCAATTTTTTCTCAAGAGTGCAATCACGTTCAATAAATCACGGAAGTTTCTACGAGCTTTAACCAAGTTTTTTTGTTCCTCTGTCCCATAAATTCAAGTGTATCATAAATGCATAAACTTCGTGGTCTGTAGACAACACTTAGGGTATATTGTACGGTTCGAGTTGTTTGAAAATAATATTACCTAAGTATTCCTGTACCGTTACAAAGAACGCAAGTTGTCGTACGGAATTCATCTAAGAAAAGTGATTTCGTTTGGAAAACCGACGATGAAAAGCTATTTCTCTCAATTTTTAAGGTTATTATGGAATCATCGTGAAACCGAACAATAACAGGAAAATGTCAGCTAACTATTCTGCCATTGTGAACATTTTTCACCGTGTCCGAAAGACAACTGTATTTTGATTTCGGTCCTATTGCGGGTCGTTTTGCCGCATTTGCCTTTTTGACAAAGCGACTCGAACCTCTTATCCCCCTCGTCTACATTCTTGCGTATATGAATGCAACAGACAATGGACTAGGTTTTTGTGAGACCGTTTCGGGACAGTTACGCGGATAATCTTCTGTCTAGACATATTGCGCCGAAGCTAGAAACGAAATACGGTCTATCGAACATACGGCGAAGTTAGATCATTCGACTGTGAATAGCCGAGTCGAGAGAAAAATACGAACTCTAAAAGATACACAGTATACTATACAGCTTCATATAACTATTGCAACTTACCTATTTCAAATTATTGCGCATTAAATTATTCTAAACAGATAACTCATTGTTTAAATTCAACTTACATTAATGTAGAAAAGTTTCACTATGCCTTAATTCAGATTTTAATTTCAGATTCAATTTACAATGAATATCATCAACAGAATGACGTCATGAAATTAATAATTACTTAACCTTTTAACTGGACATTTCCAAATTTATACAAACATTGTTGTTTGATGGAGCACTATTTACCGAACAAACACTAAAACGAAAATCTATTGAAAAACTGAACTTCTGACGTGTTAACGTATCCTCAATCAAAACGGTAAATTCAGTATTATAATCGATCCTACTAAAAACGTGAAATTTTTAGATTAATAATTAAATTAGCTGCAATCGTTTCGTCTAATCAGATTATCGCATCGATCCCCACGTAGCACATGCACATTGTAAAAAAAAATGTTTCCTGTATGAGTATCAGACGATTTCATCGAGAAGGCTCTTGAAAGCGGAGTAGAGCGATACGGCGCGCGCGATCGAGAGATCCAATCTCCGTGATATTACATCGGTTATGATGGATTCTTCGCGTAATTCGTGTACTCGGCCGGCGGAGTACGCGTGTATCATGCACCCCAAACTAGGGTTTCCGCTCGAGGGGAGCGGCCGTCAGGAAGGGAGCGCGGCCATGAGATAATTCAAGATGGAGTCAGGGAGTCAGGAAGCAGCGCATCTGCCTGCGGAAGTATTATTCTACGGCGCATACTTTACTTAAGATTAAAATTACCAAACGTGTTAAAATGTCCTATTCCTTTTTGCAATTATTAAGAAGATAACAAACGTTTCTCTGAGAAATTATTAATTGTCTTTGCAATACGCAAACTGAATCGTAAATCAATTAAAGTCTCAACAGATGCACTCTTGGAGTTTCTATAGAGAAATTTCAAAAAGTCAATTTAACTGCTCGGTAATTTTAGTGTTAACCGCGGATTTCTATTCAATTTTCGAGCGAGGGAGGTTTCTGACCTTCGTACACTTTTTGTACTTTTCTATTCCACGTTCCCCTTTTTCCTGCTTGTGCTCACTTTTCTATACCTGAGCAATGATGTCGACACGTAAATACTCAGCATGGTTCAAAAAAAGGGCCCTGAAAAGAATGCGGGGCTAATTGATTACCTTTAAGCTTTTCTCTTTTCATTATTGATACTAATTTGCTATTCATTAATGTGGTTACACGGAGCGAGAGGACCCTCTCGGTCCTGTGACGGCATAGGGCTCTATTCCTAAATAATGCTGAGTGGGGAAAGTTGTGTAGAACTGGATATGTGGATCAAACCGAGTACTATTGTTTTTTTATGGGATACGAGCTACAAAATGCAAAAGGTCTAATCACGTGTGTCTCGGAACAGAGGTCATTATGATGTTCTATACAGACAGAACTAAAAATTTCGAGTTGAAAAGTTTCGGCACTTTGTGTCTGTTTTTTGTTTTATACCTTGTCACTCGTTTAATCCACAAGCTATGTAATGACTTTTTTAATCTTCTGTAATCCACAAGCTATGTAATGACTTTTTTAATCTTTTATAATCTGCAAACATATCTAGAAAACCTATAGATCAACACAAAATTTTCCATTCATCGGTTCCCCATAAAAGAATACATTTCCCAAAGACTACTGTTATCCGCTGGAATGAAAACGACATATAAATTGGCATAGGGGCAAAAGAGGATTTTTTATTAGGTCAAATATACACATGTGAGTAGCGGGTAAATGTCATAGCAATTATTTTGCTATCCGGAGATGCAAAGCTCTTCTATCTCGAACAGAAGGATAAAACAACTCCGTCTCTATTCCCCAAAATTTCACAGCGCCAGATTAAGCCATATAACCATACAAGAATATTTTTCTTAAATACTCAAGAAAGTATTTGACAGGTATTTTTTACAATATTTCTGTAATTACGGGGAAAAGAAATTTTCTTTTCAAATTGTTCGCCTCAAAATGAATAATTTAGATTTCTTTTCTGCGTCTCATAGTTTCAAAGATATTATAAAAAATATATTTCCATCCCTCAACTTTGAGGAGTATTTTCAGTCGTTCAAAGTGGATGTTGGTCAATAAGTGTGTTAAGATTTTACTTCAGATATTACTTCGTTACTAAGATATAACAATCTCTATAGCGAAAAACGCGAAAAGTAGCGCTCTATTACCCGCAACCTGCTCGTCACCTCAGTAGAGAAATTAATTGAGAGGTGACAGAGTCGATAATGTGCGGCTACGAAAGGAGCGCATTCACGGCGAAGGGGGTAGAAGTTGCTCCGTGTTCACCTCAGCCTTGGATGAATAGAAGCGAAGGTGGTCCGCTAGTGGCGGAGGATAGAGGGGGTGATATCTGACATCCGCGCGCGACCACCACCTCTCTCCAGCGCGCCGCGGTGTCGCTACTGACGTTCAACCCTCCTGGCTGGGAACGAACCAACTCCTATCGAAAGGACCGCCCTTTTTCGAGGGTAGGGAAGCTTTCTAGCCAATGACGCGACTCGAATGCCGGTTCTACGGCCGGTTTGAAACTGGCCGGCAGCCTACCTTACCATCAAAAAGTCTCGGCTACGATGACTATCAGTTAACAGTTCGTCTCGAAGTTAGCCCTTGTTTTGAGTATCCAGGGGGTAGAAAGCGGGCACCGGGGACAGAATAATTTTGAAGTATTGCGGGAGGCGGTAGTACTTCTCTTCGCGTATCAATCATCAGTTGAGTACACGAGCTCCGCGGTACAGTCTCGCCTTCGGATTCGCTCCGCATCGTCAACATTTACGGGTTTGCGTTAGTCTTCATCGTATAGTGGAGGTGTGTTTTGTGCCAAGTATGCAGAATCAGGAATCCCAACTCGGACATTTACCTGTGTCACAGCCGAAAGTGCCCACTTCATCCAGTAAGTTTGTTGATTTCTCGTACTTCGAACTGTTTTAAGGATTTTGGAATTTTGGGATTTTGAACGGATTTCACGTGGTTAAGGCTGAAACTGGTTTTCGACGATTAAATGTGAATTTTCAGGTTATAATTTAGAACCTTACTATGTAAGTATTGTCATCTAGTTGCGGAATGTATCTTCTTTGACAGTTATTGAAAATCTCAGCTAGAATTGCGACAGTTTTGTCGAAATTTATTTTTCTCTTGTGCGAATGTTTAGCGTAATTTAGAAATTAACACTAAACGCACCGATACTTCCTATATCATTCCTATCGTAGAAGATACGTATTTCTTATTGGAAACAACAACAAAAGGAAAAATACGTTCCTAGAAAATTCCATGTTGTGTGAAACCGTGTTACAGAAAAGTCTCCTATAACACGGTAGATAGTTTCCTAGAAAATGCCATGTTGTATGAAACTGTGCACGGTGTTATACGAGAATTTCCGCAATGTATCTTATTGTGTTATAGCGAAATCATCTTGTAGAATGCCGTGCTGTAGAAGGGCTACCTGTATTTCATACAGAATATTGCTTTAAAAATATATAAATACTGAAAAACACTCGAAACACAATTTTTATATTCGAGATATCCAATTTAAGAATCGAGAATACGAGATATTGAACTCTGAAACTCCCATATTTCCACTTGAAACGCTCCAGTTACTCCATAAAATCAAGTGACAAAATCTTACATGTCATCGAAAATAAGACACGATAAAAAAACAAATTTTTTCTCTTGTGTTTTCAAATTTTCACCTAATCTTGAAAGACTTTCGGACTTTAGCATTTTCTTATTTACACATGAACGTAATCGACTTATTACCAAACAACAAGGGGTAAATTGGTCACAAAGGGAAGATACCTCTCTTTGGAGACTTTACATTTGACTGTGACTATTTTTCGCCTTCACTTTTCATTGCATGGGCAATAAAGCTCGCAGCACGCCCTTATGTGTCGTTAACTTGAAAACCATAATCACAAAAACCTCTCTTTCCATTAATCTTAAAGTCAGGTCTGTTGGTGACCGGTAGTCACAATTATCCGGCTTAGCTGCCCTAAGTTATTGCGTCACTATTAACATTTCCAATCTTTACATCATAGTTGGGAGACACAGGTAATCGAAACGTAGAAGCAGCGTATTTTTTGCGACTATAAGAAACGCCCTATGAAAATTGTTGATACGTAAATTGTTTAGTTCCTAAAACGTCGATAATTAACATAAAACCCACGGTTTCTTGCATCGAGTCATATCTCCCGATCGTCTTATATTCGAGGAAACCGATGCTAAAAAGAATTGACACCTATAATCGATTAAAATTACTTTTTAACAAATTTGAGAAATATTCTAGTAGAACGTAAGTAATGGTTCGTTGAGTAAGTAATTTCCTTTAATTTTGAATAAAGACAGTAAAGTTATATAAAAGTGTAGTGTCTCAGAATATCATTTGTTCATGATACCAAGTGATTCTATAAAAACAGAACAATTGTCAGAGATCTTCTGTTGTATTTTATGTATTCTACAGTTTGCCTGTGAATTAGAGTATATTTTTCTCGTTCAAGGGGACTATATAATTATATTGAAAGCGAGGTGGCGTGAGGTGGCTAATTTCGGTATCATCGGAAGGGTGAGTTTCACCGCGCGCCTCATCTCGTGTGAAACAAATAGCATATGCGACATTTCAACGAGGTAGAGACTGGTGCATTTGAATGATTCGTCCCTCGTGGCAGTCATCCATGAGAAAATAACAACAGATGGCTAGAATATAACACGGTAACTACGAATCTCCGTGGCCCATTAACAGGTTGTCGCGGGTGGATGAATTCGAGCGTCATTTGTTGAGAAATCAACGCTCTCGATTTCAGTCCTGTCCACTTACATTCGGAAATTGTTTTAAAACCCACCTGGACCGTTTATCCGCACCAATGATTCTCTCGAACATTATTCTCTGCTTCGACATATAATTTACGTTTAATTGAGACATTTCTACGTGGACTACTTTGGACACAACTCTATAAACTAAATTCGAATAACTTACAGTAGTTTTCACAATTGCAACGATGTCCAATATTATTAATATTATTATAGAGATTACAGAAACTACTCTCACTGCTCGCTTAAGAGTTAGAGATGTCCTAAAGTTTATCTATATTTAGATACATATTCTGCTTTTATTTATATTTTTTCTAAGCCAAAATGTTACAAAGTGGCGCGGTTATTCGCTAGCTTCAAAATCCCTTTTCGTGAACCATCATTGTTGACCGATTTGATTGCAAACAATTGAAACATCCAAAGAAAAACATTTTTCTGCAGCCGATCAGAAACTACACATATATCGAAGACTTATTCGGTATATTCAAGCATTCTCGCAAATATACAAAGTCGCGCGGTTATTGCCTTACGCTTCTCTCTCACACATATACACACACGCACTGCCGCGGTCAGTCATCTATTAATCTTGTTTTCGGCAAGTGTGAAATGTTGACCCCGACTCATTATTGTTTTGAGTTTTTCTTAACTATTAACGGTCATACCACTGTCAACGATTGTGACTCCGACATTACTATTAACCTCTTGCGCTGGAAATTAATTCCGAGATTTGCTAAAGTCTTGCGCGAAGAATTTTGTTTTTACCTGTTCTACGCAGATATGTACACTGATTCTGTTTACTAATAATTTTGTATAGAGTGACACATTTCAAAACAATCTAATACGTGTAACGCAACAAGACTATCGATATCGATGCAAAACGTCATTAGAAATTTTGCAACAAAAACATCTGGACGTGCGTGGTATGTCTTTCTACCGCAAGAGGTTAATCGAATGTTACTTGAAAAATAAGTGGAATATTTCAATAATTCTGTATATGTCAAAGAAAAGTCGAGTTCAATGAAAAATCATTTTCAATTTAAAATATGGAACGGGTGAGGGGAATGTAAGGTTTCGAAAAGGTACACAGAGAAGCCTACGGTTGTTTTCAATTAATTTCAAGCCTAATTCGCGTGTGATTACCGAGTGCGCGGTAATAATAGAACACGATGCGCGGCATGGAGAGGGTTGGTAGAAAGGTAAAAACCAGATAGAAAAGAATCGCGCGCATCTTTCGCCAGAGGGTGAATTGTAACCCCTGCAGTGGCGACAGGGCAAACAGATGACGTATGAATGCACGTACGCTACTCGCGGGTACAATGATGGGAGGCGGCCTGGTCCCTGGCACATGCCGCGAAATTCCCATGCTCCACTAACGATGCGCGTAACACCTGATGGACTGTGGCAATATGAACGATGATATCATCTGAGTGATATGAAACAGTTTCCTTCCATTTGCCTACTACGCGTTTGCCATTTTTGTCCAGTGAAATGGGAACATTTGAAATTATAATTAACACTGAACATACCACGACCGGTCAAATGACTGATTTTAAAATTTGATTAATAATTCGGCATTTTCTTTCGTCCATTTAGCGTTATATTAGTTCTTATATTTTCCGATTTTTCAGTTTTTCAACTTTTGCCTTTTCGTTTGTCTGTGTTTTCACTAAGGAAAATGTATCGTTTAATTTATTTAACTTCGTTTATAACCGATTATTTGACTAATAACCGTAGAAATAGGCGTATATAAAGTACCGGTATGTTTAACGTTAATTAAATATTTTCTTTGTTTAGTATTGGAAATTCCTTCAATTTCTTTGGTTATGAGCGATTAATATAGTGTAACGGTAGTAGCTTTATATTTACAAAAATTGAGTAATTTTCCTGATAATGTCTACGTTGAATATACAAGAATATTTTTATTGGATAAATCTTTGTTTTCAGAATATTCGCTTGTTGTAATTTGGAAGGTTTAAAGTTTGATATCAAAGTTTGGATATTATTATGAATTATATAAAAATTTGTGGGACGCTATGCAAAATGTAAGGAAACTTTCACTTGTATATTGCTACTTACAGGGAACCTTTAGCCCCAAGATTCTTCAAGCCTTTTTGCAAGACCTCGAGAGATTTTAAGGGAAGATTATCCCAACCGTTCTTCAAATACTATCTTCTTTCGAATACAGTTGCTTCGTACGTCGATTCTTCTGAATCGGTAATACAAAAAAAGTTACGCTGTCTAAACAGAAACATTTCTTTCGAATGTTTTTTTTATCTTTTACTGTTCATACAATTTCTCTGTTCGATCTGCAAGAAGTATCTCGTGGTACAGGTTAGTTAAAAGATGATCATATCGATTTGAAGGACGGAGAAGTAAAGGAGTAATTCAGTTCAATAAATCGAAACGATGATTACACTCAACAGAAGTCTGGCCATGAGGTAAAACTTTCGAGACTGGAAATTACGTACAACTTTTCGTTCGTATACTCACCCTTTTCGACCTTGCGGCATCTATAATCGCGGCGAACTTTCTCCCTCTGTCTTAGCATCGCGAGACCTGTATCATCAAAAGTTCGCGACCAATGGGCTTTTAACGACAAAAGAACTAGGATGCACTAAACGTAAATGACACAGCAGTGAATCACATCCGGTTGAATTCACGTCGAAAGTTACCCTTGCACTGACAGCGGTTTTAGGGCGACAAACAGCAATAGCCCGTAATTTTAATGTCTCGAAGGGAAAACGGGAAATGTCACGAATATTTTTCTAATTATACACACAGTACTTCACAGCTGTTCTGTAAACAGTAGATTATATAGAAAAATGAATTACCAACAACTTTCAATATTTGAATATATTATAAATCAATTTGTAGTAATAATAAGAAATCTTCTTTTTAATCGGTTAATCATAGAAGGCAATCCAAAATTGAATATATTTCCTAGAAATTCTAAATTAAAATATTTCTTGGGGTGAGAATATATAAACATGAAAAATAATTCAAATTAATTAGATGCGACAGAACATTAAGTTAGAAATATTATAATGGAAAGAAAGTCCGAAGGAAGCAAGTCGATTTTGCAGCCCCTTCACCGAGTTCGGACCCGAGCACGCGACATGCGTGTGACTAATCGCAAGGAAGCGTGCACTTGTGCGCATTTGTCGTTTTCTTTCCTCCTCTCTTTCGCTTTTCCTCTCCTTTCCGACCGAGGGGACAAGCCCGATCACTGTAAAACTTGCATGAATGATTGAGAAGCCGGCAGAAAGGAAAAAGATGACCGGTGCTTGGTAAAACATAGACCTCAATTCCAGTACAATGAAAAATTCAATCGCGAATGACTCGCGATGCCACGCCGCGGTGAATGCAAGTTTCATGCAACCAGACGAACATCGACTCGCAGGAACTGCATCGCGTGATTCGATTGTGCGGACGCGCGTTCCATCGTCTACGCCTCCTTTTACGTTCCAAGTTTCTTTAAAATTACGACATTGGAACCCACAATATTCTACGACTGCGGAACAATAGAACAATCGCCCTTCTTTTGTTATCGGGGTACGCGTAGCTTTTCCGATCAGTTCTTTTCATGGATAATTTTAGAGATATCGAGTGCAGGATTGTTTTAATTGGCCCGTTGTGAGACTAGTTTTAAGGAATTATTTTTTAGAAGTTATTAGTAATGTAGTGAGTGTTATCTTATGGAAGCAGTAACAACAGTCCTTTATCATTTTATGGTTTTTGTTTCGAATAGAGAATTCTATAATTTAAGCAGAGAATGATTTCAAATTAAAGTCGCTTAGAATATTCTTACCACAAGAGAACTAAGAAGAAACTTTGATCAAATATAAAAATTTCCATTTATAGTTTTATGTTATCTAAAGTCAGGCACGTTGACGTTTTTATTTCTCTAAAATATTACAAAAAACTGAGGGAGTTATTTAGTAAATATTGTTACACTATTGTGTAATATAATATTACATCCCTCATCCATGTAATGTTACCTTAACTGAATTATCGTCTTACTAAGTCGTCACGCACTTACAATAACTCTACGAAAAGGTACTATTAATGCATTCTGTATGCCACCCTTCGTAGCCAAAGAAAACGGCATTCTTACTTTGTAAGGGTGCAACCCTGTCATCGCAAACCGTTGCAATGGTCAGTGAGCTTACATAGTAATCAGCGTGTAACTTACGCTAATATCTCGCCAGTAAACTTAATATAGTTAAACCAGTAATTTATACGTATGGACCCGAATGAGATTGATAAGCGAGACATGCCTCGCGAAATCAACAGGTTGTTGCTGCCTTGTCTTCAATTCGATTCCTAATAGATATTTCACGCCATCTCACGCCCAACGCGCACACACATGCGCGCGCGCACAGTTTCTTTCTTTCTAGAACATACAATTATTTCGCGAATATCGGTGATCGCGTTACCAATCGTGTTTTACGCTACGCTCACGCCATACACACACTCTCTTTCCTTCTTTCTAGAATATACGATTATACGATTATGACGCGTAATTTGACACACCACATTTACATTCTAAACATCCCCTTTTGAATTTATCACAAATTATTAAACTACCTAAATAAGAGAAAAGTTCATACGACTAAAAAGATAAATACAATA